ATAAAAATGACGGGGAAAAAAATTATGACGTCTTTTTAAACGGAATTTTCTAGCGCGACCTGCCTGCTTCACTTAAGTCACTGCTTATTAAGGTCCGTCCAAAATTACCGTGGCCCATCCAAAAATGAAAACCTGGCGCCGTGCCATTTATAAACCTCTGCAAATGTTTGTTCTTCACTTTATCAAACTCAAGAGTTTGTACAGCTAATGTCAAGATGTCAAATTATGAATTCAGTCGAGCCCTTCCCTCCCTCTTCTGTTTCTCCTTGAAACCCGACATCGGCTGTCGGGTTTCAAGGAGAAACAGAAGAGGCAAACAGAGTGAGTGTGAGAAACCAGACTGGTGTGGAGGTGAGCAAAACGGCTGGAAAAGTGTGGGTGTTGAACGATCTCAATAAGAAAAGTGTGGGTGTTGAATCCCCCACTTCCCCCACGGGTGCGATGCCCATGCCAGACCCTGAGGAAGATTGTGGAGAAGGACCGATTCCAAACGTTGGGGGACCTGCGGAAGCAGTGGACTGAGTCTGGAGTAGAAACATCCAGAGCCACCTTGTACAGGCGTGTGCAGGAAATGGGCTACAGGTGCCGCATTCCCCAGGTCAAGCCACTTTTGAACCAGAAACAGCGGCAGAAGCGCCTGGCCTGGGCTACAGAGAAGCAGCACTGGAGTGTTGCTCAGTGGTCCAAAGAACTTTTTTCGGATGAAAGCAAATTTTTCATGTCATTCTGAAATCAAGGTGTCAGAGTCTGGAGGAAGACTGGGCAGAGGGAAATGCCAAAATGCCTGAAGTCCAGTGTCAAGTACCCACAGTCAGTGATGGTCTGGGGTGCCATGTCAGCTGCTGGTGTTGGTCCACTGTGTTTTATCAAGGGCAGGGTCAATACAGCTAGTTATCAGGAGATTTTGGAGTACTTCATGCTTCCATCTGCTGAAAAGCTTTATGGAGATGAAGATTTCATTTTTCAGCACGACCCGACCTGGCACCTGCTCACAGTGCCAAAACCACTGGTAAATGGTTTACTGACCATGGTATTACTGTGCTCAATTGGCCTGCCAACTCTCCTGACCTGAACCCCATAGAGAATCTGTGGGATATTGTGAAGAGAAAGTTGAGAGACGCAAGATCCAACACTCTGGATGAGCTTAAGGCCACTATCAAAGCATCCTGGGCCTCCATAACACCTCAGCAGTGCCACAGGCTGATTGTCTCCATGCCACGCCGCATTGAAGCAGTCCTTTCTGCAAAAGGATTCCCGACCAAGTATTGAGTGCATAACTGAACATAATTATTTGAAGGTTGACTTTTTTGTATTAAAAACACTTTTCTTTTATTGGTCGGATGAAATATGCAAATTTTTCGAGATAGGAATTTTGGGTTTTCATGAGCTGTATGCCAAAATCATCAATATTAGAAACATTAAAAGGCTTGAACTACTTCAGTTGTGTATAATGAATCTAATATATATGAAAGTCTAATGTTTATCAGTGCATTACAGAAAATAATGAACTTTATCACAATATGCTAATTTTTTGAGAAGGACCTGTATATTATGTGACAGATGAAACATTGATGAGAAGTCTATGATTATTCCTTCATTTTTCTCAGAAGCACTTCTGTCCTGATTTATGACAGCTGAGCTTCAGCACAAGGAATTTGCACCACTGCAACTAAGTTTCCAGCTGCTCTGCAATCATTTAATTTAAAAAAAAGTGTCAAATAGATTCTGGTTCGGGTGATGTATTGTTCTGAATGTCAACCAGTGCAGCTTTTAGAGCAAGAGGAGTTCTGGATTAGAGTCTAGACGGGATCAGGTCGGCACGGGAGGAGACAGCACATCCGTGGCATGCTAACCAACACTCCTTCATTTACGTATTACCACCATCTGTCACTCTGACGGGACGCCAAAATTACAGATTCAGTGGTAAAGGTGGAGGAGAGGAAATTCAACGTGTGGAAAAAGGAAATGATTCTGACAAAAATGAGAGGAGGTTGCAATAACTGGAAAAATAAACTCTAAATTGCCGCTTTTTATTTAATTGAGCAATTTATCTTTTGGCTTTGGAGGACTTTAGCAGAAAGTAGGAAAGGAATCAAGCGTAAGAGTATGTCCAAATATCAGAATCTAATGGACAGTCAGTTAACATGAAAGTGACAGTTCCCAGCATGTTGCTAGTGAAGTCATGACACTACCAAAATAAAAGCTGCATCAATTTTCTGTCTGCCTCGATGACAGAGGACGGTTCTGCTGTTTTTTGAGCTTTTACACAGCGAGGAACAGAAAAACTATTTATGTAGCCGACAGAAAAACAGAAATGTGAACTTTTCTAAAGCTGTTAAACTGCAAATGAAAGCTTTCATCTTTGTTTCCTTCAAGATTCCAGACAGTCGACCGCTGCGTCTATCGTGTGTGTTTTCATGCAGAGATTCTCAGTGAACTCAGGTGAACTGCAGGTATAGTACATGTCATCTAAGCGCACTCTTTAAATGGACACGTGTCTGTGAGTCTGAATGTAAGTCAGGGAAATCAACTCAGTCTTTACTGAAAGAAAATTAAATGTTTACAATGAATCTGCAACAAAGTGGTGATGAGGCTGTTTTTACTGTAAAGAAGTTTCATCTTTTACAATTTGCTGATGCGACAGAACCAAGTCCCCACCATGCAGGACAGAAATTGAGGCCAATGCGGAAGTGAAATAAACTGCAGTTCCACCCTCATCCGCTGGGGGCTGGTGTCAGCAGCAAGCAAATCCTCATTGACTCCCATGTTAAAAATACCAATTTCACAGCAGAAATAAACATGTTTACTCCGAATTTCCGACTAGAAGAACATGAACGCACTCTAAAGTTTGGCTTCACTTTACTAAATGCGACGGGTGATTGGGTGAAGATGAAACCAGCGACAACAATCTAAGTGTGAGGCATCACCGTTTTAATCTGCTCCAGCAGCTAAATAAACAGTTTAAGATAACGTTAGCTTGATATGTTAGCTTCCATTGCCACCGTTGTTATCAGCTAATGGTGCGTTTGCTTTCTCCTCGGAAATTCTAACTTCCCAGTAGGAAAAATCAAAGAAAAAGGACGGCAAAAGGAATGAAGATACACAGTAAACTTAGTTCACAGTAAAGATGTTTGCTTCAGTTTAATTATCAGCTTATAAAACTACAAGGACGATGTTAAAATACAAACAGTTGGATGTTATTTATCGTGATATTTATCAAATATGGTTATATATTGAGGAAAATATATATTTAATTATAAAAGAGAATTAAAATATTAAACACTCAAAAGTATCTAAAACTGGTACCGTTAAGTACCGGTATCGATTCCTAGGTACCGGGAATTAGTACCGAATCGATTCAAATGTCAAAGGTACCCATCCCTAACTGCACCCTCGTTGTGCACTTCCCTCTATCCTTGTAAGTAGCCTCAGGTGTTAGCCTCAATGCTGACTGGTTCCTTATATCATCAGTTGTCAGTTCCCAGAAGATGGATCCAGCTCTGCTGAGTAATTAACTTTCTATTTGACCACCATGTCTCCTCCTCCTTACCATCTGGAAAAATGTGGAGGTGGGAAAAGGGAAGTCTGCTGGAACACATGAGTGAGAAAAAACGTGTAGCAATTAGATAAAAATGGCAGAAAATTAGCTGTTAGGACTTATACTTGATAGCCGTTTGAGTCTTCGCACATAAAACATTGCTTCACGGGGAATATTTGTTGTATTCTTATCCTAAGCATAACCTAACTGGTCATGTTACGAGACAGCACTGAGAATAATAAATTAAATAAATGACAAAAGAAATAAATCAGAATGTTGGGAAGGCTGAAATTCAATGAAGAGAATTTATCTCTGCCAACAAATCCCTATTTAAGCTAATTGTAGCAGACACTAGCTCTAGGTTCTGCACTAATGCTGCAAGGTGGTTAGGGTTGGGTTGTAGCAAACTAACAAATCATTTCCTAAAATACAAAAGAAGCTGATACTCTACAGAAGTGAATGCATGCGGTCAAGACATGAATAGGTTTGTGTTTTCCTGATGTCACAGACAAAAGTCCCCCAGTAATCCCCCTGCAGGCAGCTCAGCTTACCTTACATGCACGTAGACAGTTTGGGACACGAGGGACGCAGCATCTGCTGCATCATAAATCTATAAGGTACCTACAGAGCTTAAATCTGACCCTGACCTTCTGTCGGCTAACACTGTAATATGCATCACACCTGTCTGGCGCCACAACTGGCACCTTTGTCAAAACAAACGTAAAAGTATTTTGCTCTAGCTAATTCTTGGTTAAATCCAGGACAGCCATTTAATTGTGTGCACATACTGGAAAGTCAAACTTTAACTGGAATAAATCCACCATCTGTCTCATCAGTCATGTCTGCTGTCTGCTTCTCTCCTTTCTTTCCTTTAAAACCGGTTTCGTCCAGAAGCTGTTGTTTTTGCTTGAGCTCCATATACACGATCCAGGCTTCTGTCTTTTAAATAAAACAAACCAACAGTTCTGCTAAATTCTTATTCCCAATCGTTGGAAGTATTCCTTGGAATACTCCAACAGTTTTGTACGTTTGTCTTTTTCTCTTTAAATGAGGATTGGCACAGTGAGAGAGCGACTATAACTAATTATTTTTAATGCATCCCAAATGTGCCAATTATGAGTCCAAAACCCAAATATATACAGTTTCAAATTAAAAAAGAAGGCTCCAAATCCCAGCAAACGAGATGCTGCATACACTTGCATTACAGGCTGATTAGGAATAGAAAATTATAAATATTTATAGTTCATTAGGTATTAAATAACTTTCTGTGCATCACAACTTTAAACCGATCTAGACTCTTTTAGGTCACATTGTACAAAAGTTGTTTTTTTATGTTGGGGAATCGATAAATGTCCACATTTTTATTTGATCAGCCATTTGTTATTTCGTTCTGGGACGTACAAATAGTTGAAATGAAACAAAAAATCCCAGCAGAAGTTATGTTTACGAACGTGTACCCTACCTGAGACAGCCAGAGGTGTTTTTGAAAACCGTGGTCCACTCCGCATCGCGGGGCTTTGAGTCCTCGTTGGGTTCGTGTTCCCAACCCGAGTGGGGGATTATGACCTCATTGGTCATGGTTTGCAGGCCGTGGTTGATGATCACCATCTTCAGAGGCTCATAAGATGACAGATTCCACAAGGTTCCTGTCAAGGAAAAGAGACGGGAATAAAATGAAGACTCGGATTGAGAGAGTAGAGATAAGCAGGAGGATTTAGTTCATTTAGAGGAGAAAAACATGAAGATGCAGCTAAATGAACAGCGAGGCAGGAGGAGAAGAAAAACTATACGCAGAAAGTGAAAATGATTACATTTAGTGAAAACTGTGTAGCAGAGTAGCCAAGCAGAGTGTTGAGCAGACTGTAATCATAAACACCTTTAGGTTGGCATTAAAGGAAGCTAACAACGCACTATAATAAAAAATCCTTACTACAGGTGATACGATGTGTGAAAACCCCTTTCCAGCATGTTTTAAATGTTTCTCTGCTCCAACACATCTGATTTTATTCAGTGGTGACTAATAACTAACCCTAACCACTAAATCAGGTGTGTTGAGCAGAGAAAACTAAAACAGTGGTACTCACTCCTGGTCCTGAAGAGCTGGTATCTAGCATGCTTTCCTTGTTTCTCTTCCAACACAACTGATTCAGTGGGTGAATCACCTGTGCAGCAGCTCATCGGACTCTGCAGAAGCCTGCTAATCACCTGCTGAATGAAATCAGGTGTGCTGGAACAGAGTTCAAACAAAAACATGCTGGACGCTAGCCCTCCAGGACCAGGAGTGAGTACCACTGCACTGAACATGCTGGATAGGACCAGGGTTGGACAGCCCGGTCTAAACAAACTCGAGATCCGCCAAAAACATCAGATGATGACAAATGTCGGCCAGTTTTCAACATAATATTCTGAATCAGTAATCCGCCAGTCTATGACTCAAAAGTTTTTTTGTTTTCTTATTTCAAGCTGTAAAAGCAAAGGGGGAAAAATGACATTAATTCAAGACCAAGCCATAGCAGCTCTTATAGAGGACAACTTTACTCATGGTTTTAATACATTTGCAGTGGTCTTGAGAAATGAATGCCTTGACAGTTGTGATTTGGGAGGAAAAGCTCCTGTTTCAGGAGCTAGAAGTGAGCCAGATCAGAGCTGAGCTTCAGATGGCAGGATCTGGGGTCTTATTTCCTGACATTTGGACATCTCACTGGATTGGCTAAAAGCAACGAGACTCTACCACTGGCTCGGTTTGCTTTGCAACGTTGATGTTTTATCTCCACAAATAACACAAATCTGGAGGAGTTCTGCTGTGATGGGGTTGCTAATGTTAATGGTTAGCTTCTACTAGCAGAGATGTACTCTGCTGTTTCCTGAACGCTAAACCAGCAGCAGCCTTCCCCGTCGTGGGTCAAGATGGGTGAGTCTATGACTGTAAAATCCCTGGTAATTCTCTAAATAAAAGCACTGGAAAGATGCTGTTTTGTAGCTTATGTGTGGCCCTATAGCTTATTCACTCCCAGTATTGTTCGAGAAGTGCAGCAGTGTGTTTTTCGTGGCTTTAATCCTAGCAATGGAGAGGAACAACATCCTATATGACATCAAACCGTGACCATGACGGGATCTCGAGGGATCTTGTGATCTTGCGAGTCCAGCGAGGAGCACAGCCAGGAAGCCTTTTCGTGGCCAAGAATCTCCTGATGTGTAATGGACCGTATTGAAGCTCACTGGTAAAACATCCTGTTGCCGTTCTGCACCGCTTGATTCTTCCAGTGTGAAACCCGAGATACTCGAACAGAAAAATACAGCTTGCTTGCGACGATTCAGGTATGTACTGCCCCCATCGCCAGGGAAAATGCACATTGTCACTTTAAAGAACCAGGTCTGTGAGGAACTGAGTTCTTGCCCAATTATACAAGTACATTCATTGAAAATCGTACAATGTCATTTCCTGGAGGTTTTTTTACGTTCTGTCTCACAGTTGAAGTGTACCTATGATGAAAATGATAGACAACTCGTATTTTTAAGTGGAACAACTTGCACAATCCATGGCTGTCAAATACATTTTAGTACATCTGAATCAGCCTAAATCACTATCAACAGTTAGAGATGTAAAAAAAAATCTGAAATCGGGATTGGCCCTGAAAACCAGAATCCATGACTCTAGAAAAAGAAAATCTTTATATTTTAGGAAGTCGGCACAAGCAGGGACTTTTATTTGTCACTTTCCAAAGGAACAGCAGCTCTATTTCATACTCCTGCAAAAGCAAACAAAAATATGTGAACCAAACTGAGCTTGGGATGTGCTCTGGGAGTTTTCACAGAAGAGTCACGCTGACAAAGCTGAGTGGAATATTTGGAAGCGAATCCAGGCTGTGCTCTGCTTTAGCAGAAAACACCCACTGGGCTTTAACTTAGACACATGAAAGCTGTGGCATAAGGAAACTTCCAGTTTTAGTTAAAAAATAAACGTAAAAGAAAGTCCACCATTTAAACTATTCTAGGGGTCTGTTGCAACAACCCATCTCTCTGGCCTCTCCGTCTTTAGCTTCACCCAGTTGCTGCTATTTTTTCACATTTTGGGTTCAAATCAATTCAATTCAATTAAAAAATACTTTATTAATCCCAGAGGGAAATTGATTGCTGTAGTAGCTCAGAATAATAATAATAATCAAGTCATCGTCGTCGTCATCTTCCTCCGCTTATCCAGGTCCGGGGCGCGGGGGCAGCATCCCAACTGGGGAGCTCCAGACCATCCTCTCCCCGGCCTTCTCCACCAGCTCCTCCAGCAGGACCCCAAGGCGTTCCCGGACCAGATTGGAGATGTAACCTCTCCAACGTGTCCTGGGTCGACCCGGGGGCCTCCTGCCGGCAGGACATGCCTGAAACACCTCCCGGGGAGGCGTCCAGGAGGCATCCTCACCAGATGCCCAAATCACCTCAACTGGCTCCTTTCGATCTGGAGGAGCAGCGGTTCTACTCCAAGTCCCTCCCGAATGTCTGAGCTCCTCATCCTATCTCTAAGGCTGAACCCAGCCACCCTATGGAGGAAACGCATTTCGGCCGCTTGTATCCGCGATCTCGTTCTTTCGGTCATTACCCAAAGCTCATGACCATAGGTGAGGATTGGGACGTAGATCGACCGGTAAATGGAGAGCCTGGCTTTCTGGCTCAGCTCCCTCTTCACCATGACAGATCGGCCCAGCGTCCGCATCACTGCAGATGCTGAACCAATCCGCCTGTCGATCTCCCGATCCCTCCTACCCTCACTCGTGAACAAGGCCCCGAGATACTTAAACTCCTCCACTTGAGGTAGGACCTCTCCCCCGGCCCGGAGTTGGCAAGCCACCCTTTTCTGGTCATAACAATAATCAAGTCATCAAAGAGTTATTGTATATTACAATGGCTTTTGGCAGGAAGGATCTCCAGTAGCGGTCAGTGTTGCAGCGAAACTGAAGAAGCCTCTGACTGAAGACACTCTTCCGTTGTCGGACAGTCTTGTGAAGAGAATGCTCAGGGTTGTCCATCATTTTCTTGATTCTCTGGAGAATCCTTCTTTGCATCATCTCCTCCAGCGGTTCCGAAACTGCCGATACCCTGGCTGAGTCCTTGAAAGGGCTTGGAGTTCCTCCATCTTGTTGGCCAATGATCTCACATTGCCCATTATGATCGATGGAAGAGATGGTTTGAATTTCCTCCTTCTGTGTCTCCGTTTTGCTCCCGCTCTGCATCAACGCTTCTTGCGTTTTAGCTCATTTGGGATTTGTGGCTTCATTTGAGGTATTATTTCAGCCTTTCCAATGTTAATCAGCTGCTCCCAATTGTAAACCAGCTTGTTGCCATGGTTATGCATCATAACAAATGCTCAAAAAGTGAAAAAAGCAAAAAATTACCAGTAAAAATCCTCCAAGCTTCACAGCACCAGAAACAGAAAAGTAGTATCCAAAAAAAAAATACAGTTTTTCTTGAGAAACTACAAGAAAAAATGTCCAAGAAAAGGCAAAACTTACATAGTCAACAGAGCTACTCCAACATGAAGCCGCCCAGAGCAGCGCAGTTCCGGGGAAAAAACTGCATGGATTGGGTCATAGTAATAGTAATTACATCTATGTGTTAAAGTTTAGCACAATGACATTTGTTGGCTATTTTTGATATAACAAGTAACCTGTTGCTGCCACATTTAACCTAATAATTTCAATTATCCGACCTAATTCCCCCACCCCACCCCCCAGGATTAGTGCTTTCCTAAAAAATAATGTCTACTGAATCTGATGCATGTTTTCTACCTTCAGGTGAAAACTTCATGTACATAGGTGCAACGTTTTATTTCAACTGTTGTTGCTTTGTCTTGTATACTAAAGGAGTTAGGGAGGTGTGGAAAAATGCAAAAAAGGATGCACTGCCATTTCTGAAAGCATTCCCTGTTTACATAATTTTTTCACACCTGCCTAAAACTTTTGCACATTAATGTACTTTCATATTTTCAAATAACGTTAAGTTTTCCAATTCCTATTTTATGAGGTATTAAACATTTCATATACATCAAAGAGGTGTTGACCGTTGGTGAATTGGCACAAATCCACTTGTCAAATCACAAACTTACTCTCATTTAATAATTTTTCATGAGAAATCTATTCATGTATGCCTCTTTTACTTCAAAGATCCAAAGCAATACCATCTGAGAATGTTAAACTTTCAAATTAAGCACACATTCAAAAGCTCGTGCACATGCTGACACGCTCAAATGCACATGTGACTTGCACTTGTGAATGCACCGATGCAGATGGGAACCCATATTCAGACATCCGCAGTGCGTGATTCCCTACTGCCCTTAAACAGCTCCCATTAGCGGAGCACGGAAAACAGCCGCACTTCCTGGCCTCCGTTCTTCAAAACAATCCCTGTACATTTTCCAGACGGTCAAGATTTCCTCTGAGGAACGCAGCTCATGCACACAGGAGGAAAAAAAAGGGAGTAAAAATAACTCCAGACCTTTTAGCCTGGTTCTCTGTGCAGGTTTCCTTCATCAAGAAATTCAAAGACTGAATGAAACTAACTCATTAGAGCAGGGGTGTCAAACATACGGCCCGCGGGCCGGGTCCGGCCCGCAAGCGGGTTAAATCCGGCCCGCGAGATGGTTGTGTAAACTTTATTT